TAAAGATTTAAAATAATATACCCAAGCCAAATTAAAAAATCTAGGAAAGTCTAGTTTAAGACTATAAACTTAGCGTTGTATGGGAGGCATCCTAGAATTTGATTTAGTTTATTATTAAGTTTGCCTAAAGACTATAAACTTAGAAAGTTAAGGTTTGTAACCCAATTTATAGCTTAGGTGTGATAAGTAGGGATTGTTAATTTTATTAATTATCATTAGTTTACTTAAAAAAAACCTTAAGATATGAGAGAGCGCTGCAGTACTGAGCTAGGCCTTTGTGGGTAAAAAAAATCAATTTTTAAAACTTCCTTTCACTTGAAAATTATAAAAATAGCATGTTAAAAGTTTAATTCTCAATCCTTAATAATTCTTGGGTATAGTGTTATATTCTTCTTTATAATAATTAAACTTAAGCAATAGGTAGAACCAAGCAAAGACAATGCTCCTCTAGAGTTAAAAGTGAAGAACATTTGAAAATGAAGATTTCTTTTCTCTTCTCCACATAAAGAGCTCTGATATCATCAATAATTTTTATAAGTTCAATGATGAAGTTCATGAGGATACATGAAAATACAAGAAAGAAATAAAGAAAAATTATAAATGTGAAGTTTTAGAGTATGAATTTCATCATGTTCAAGATGTTCTACTATTTAATTACAAAAAGATGTTTTGCCATGAAAAAATTAAATATGGATGGGCTATCCCATATTCCATTATTAAAATATATCTTAATGGTGCCATTAGCATTCAAGATAAGAAAATGTTTCACATTTTCAAGGTCAATGATCATAGATTAAAACCATGTGATTAGATGAATAAAGAAATCTTGAGTTTGGAAGAATAGAAGATGTGTGTTTGTATCTTGGTTATGCTTCATATTTTTTAGATGAAAATGCACTTATATGAGTAATTGATATATGTAGTTGGAATATGACTCATTATTTTGGCTTTTTGAAGCCAGTATCCTATGCATGGTGCCAAGTGCACAAGTTATCTTATAACATGTGTTATGTTAACATATATTTTATGCGTCATTTATCATTTATATGAAGTATGTGTGGTGTTAATTATTTGTTTTTTCTTTTATTTACATTTTATTGAAATTCCCCATGTGTTCATTATAATTTTTATATATTTATTATTTAATTAACCTTAGTAAAAATGATAATTAAAATTTATATAAAATTAGGATAATAATAAAAATCTATATAATAGTTCAAGTGAACACTATATATACTACATAGAGTGGAAAAACTAATAATTAACCTTTTTTGGACCATTTAAGTTATTGCTTTAATTTGAAATTATAAGTTATACCTTTATTTAATTAATTTTTGAAATAAAGATGAATAATAAGAATTAAATATTAGATATGAGTATATTAAAATTAAAATTCATAAACAATCTAAATTTGGAATTACTAATCTTATTAAATCCTTACATTAAATTCATTAAGAAGTAAAAGGTTTCAAAGTAAAAAAAAAATTATATTCAAAATTATTAACTATTTACTTAATAAAAAAAGAGGAACTAAGAAAATAGTTCTAAAATAGAAGAAAACGAGAAGATGAGTACAATAAAAATTGGTATCAATAAAAAACTTAGAATCTGATTAATGCAATCTTATACTTAAATTTATAAATGATAAAATAAGAAATTTAGTTCAAATGATAGTGAACTAATAAAATTTCAATTTTAACTACTAACATATCTAATCATTAAACTAAATTATTCACTTTAAAATTAAAAAATAAATAATTTAATTTATAACCAATGAATTCACATTAAGAATTAATAAGGATGGCTAATTAGTGTAATTATTAGTATTTTTTTAAAACTAAAATTATAATTTTGTTCAGTTTTACTATTTCTGGAGTGTGATGTATTATTCTATATTTTAAAAATTCTAAATTGGTAGTTTTTATTTTGGTTAATTATTTAATTAGAATTGCAATATTTTTATTTTCTTGAGGACAAGCAAGAGTATAAGTTAAGGAGAATTTGATAAGTTTAAATAATGTATTATTTTATGTGTTATATTTTTAGTGAAATATACCACAACATTAACATTGCGGTGCCAACTTTTTTGTTGGTTAGTGTCGTAGTGTATAAATGGTCAGCTTTGCATCATCATGCTCTCTATCTTCCAACATAGCAGCATCAAAATCTATAACGTCTGAGCACCAAAATTATCCTTCTAAAGCCATAGAATTTGAAAGTTAGCAGTGCCACGATGTAGCAGTTATTAGTTTCCAATTAGGACTCGACATGTCAGTGAAACAACAAAACTATTTAATAAGTAACCGATCCACATAAGCAATTGAGCTAAAATAGTAGTGTAGTGGGGTTCGTTCATTTGTGGGCACATCGACATCAATCTTTTAAGCATTGCAGTGCTAGTTGCCTACTTTGTATTTTTCTATAAATAGGCATTATGTTATATTTATAAGAGAGTTCAGTCACTTGTTTAATTTCAATACATTTTAAAGTACTTCTTTAAATCCCTCTTAGCATGATAACTAAGGGAATTTAGGAAACTACTATAATCATATATTAAAGGAGTGTAGAGCAGCTACATTGAACCTTCCTAGCGATATAATTCTCCTGTATCTTTATTCTTCTATGATTTTAATGGAACTAAGTTTGATTATCTTTTTTTCCATATCTGGCTAGTTCCTTAGTTTTGGATGACGATGTAGAGAACATATTAAGTACTAATAAAAATTATTATGTTATAAAGTTAATGGATATTTTCAATATTATATAATTATTTATTTAATGCACATAGTGACTATATGTGTAATTAAAATCTAGTGTGATGTATAGCCTCAATAAGATAAGCAAAAATAACCATAAATATTAAAATAATATGTTTGCATACCTAGACATAGGATTTAAAATATACTAAGTTTTTAAGGAGATGATATAGTTGTAGGACATTAGCAGACATCCTTTTCACCCCTACAAGCTCGATAAAGATCTGGGGATGCATATATATGCTCTAAATCACATTACATTAAAAATTTTATTAGGAAAGATATATAATTTATATTTATCAATCCAAAATATTTTTTTTATATATTAAATTCATTATTTAACTATTTTTATTCAGTGATTGAATCTCGACAATAAACATTTTAATTTAAAAAGGATAATTTTACAATTAGAGTAAATAGTAGTAGTTGATTATTAAAAGCATACTTACTCGTGGGTTTGATGCTCTACTATATCATTTTATTACTTGATTCAGCACGTATGCATGTGTATATTAAGCGGAGTTTGTTAATTTATATCAAAGAAAACTTAAATATTGTTTAATCCAACATATGTTTTCACCCCCATCAGCGGCAAAGTAGTTGATGGCCTTTGACACCAAAGGCTTCTTTACAAAGCTTTCCTCAAGACAAACGTCGACACACCTGGAAGAACTTAGGAGCAAGCTGGCCTGAGCAATCATGTGAAAACCCCTCTCACACTCCCTTAAATCCCACAAGGCACTTCTCCCTCTCACACAACCTCATCATTTGTCTCCTTTGCTCAATACTTTGTCTTCAAACACTCTCACAAAAGAAACAAACTTCTGTCTGCCAAAAAACTCCTTCAAAGTTATAATAAAAGTTTATATAGGGGCATACAAAAATCCTAAGGTTTTCAACTCTGCTACTTATGTTCGTACAATACGATTAATTCATCCTCTGTTATATGATCTAAGATCATATAGTATAATTAGTTCAATTGAATAGTAGTTCGTACAGGACGAACCCCGAGACTATTAGTTATCATCCAGAAGATCACTTTATCGATCGTACCATATGATCATCAATCTTAATTAATTTTGATTTGATTGTTTAATCATAGGGATTAAATTAGGTAAGATTTCTAAACATCATACAATACGATTAAAATAATTTTCAAACATTGAATTATTGCCTCGTTAAAGTCATGGCGGGGACACCAAATATAGCTAATCATCTTATATAATGTTGTGACAATACAATATGATTAGTTATAGCCTTTTACAAATTAATCTCATTGAATTAAATATTTTAATTAATTTCATATTGCACATATCGGATGATACGATCAAGATCGTCCAATAAGATCTTAAAAAAATTTAAATATTTAATTACACCCCCCTTGTGTGTGCGCACGGTTACTAACCCATCATACACCTATTACAAATATTGACTAAAAAAATATAAAAATTACAAGCTCTTTGAGATAAATTGACTTGCACACACTTTCTTGAGCTTTGATTCTTTTAATGGTGCTTTGTGTATGTTTAACATGAAATGTTAGTAGTGCATATGAAAAATATATACAATGCATAAAGCAGGAGAAAATAAATAAACATCCAATAATATTTGTCTTTATCAAAACACAAGGACGTGCTCTCTGATTACAACAATTTTTTTATTTGACCTCATCTTTTTTGCTTCTTCAAAAAAATTTTATGTTGGGAAACTGCTCTCTATAATAGTTTTAAAATATTATGTTCTCTACATCAATTCTACAAAATAGTAAGAAAACCATCCCAAATAAAAGTTTATATATGTATTTGAAGGACATACAGGTTTGCTATCCATATCCACTGCAACCAGGATCATGCTGTTTTTATCTAATTTAATCATTTGGGCTCATTTAGGGGCTTCATTTGGGCAATCAAAATTTATAGGAAGTCAATGCAACATGTTGGATCATGTCTATTATTTCTCATGCTGTTTCGAGCTTACTCTATGATTTAACAATTCTAAAGAAACTGAATAGTAATTTACTTTTTCTTAGAAAAAGACTATAAGATATATATTTTATATCACTATTCATAGTTAATTAAATTAAAATTTTATCAAATAAATAAATTAAAATCTTAGAAATACCAGAAAAGTGGTAATAATTGTTTACTTATATATTAATAGATTTATTAAAAAAAAATATTAATATATAGATTCAAATAAAACTCAAACAATCGGAATTTATTTCAGTGAATAGCAAAATAATAATTAGAAGATTGAAGACATCCGGTCAATGAAGATATTGAACGTCTCCTCACGTTCCAGCAAGCTGATCCTCACATACTTGCTGTCCGTCCCAAAATGCTTCCCGCTCCGAGTCAACATGCTGTGTTCTGTCCTCAGGAAGTTCGCGGTGTCCTCAATGTCAAGATTTCCTTCGTACTTCAGCCATGCGAAAGCTGAAGGCAAAAGATAGAATTTAAATCACCGTGGTGTGGCTTTCTTACTATTTTTTAAAATTATTTTTTAAAATAAAAATTTTTAATTTAAAAAAATTTTACAAAAAAATCATGTTAGAAAGCATTAAAAAAATTATTCCAAATGAAACATTCTTAATATATTTATGTCCAAATATATATCACCTCATTATTGTAAATCGTTTCTTATTAAGATGTTTGATTTTGAGAGAGAGAGGGGTTCAACTATAATTCATTAAAATATTAAACTCGATTTTTTATAATTAGTTAACCCAAAATTAAAATATTAAAAACAATTTAAAATTAAAAATAATAAAAAATTCACATATATACCACATAGTTTTTATACATTTACATGCATAAAATTTAAAACTTTATATTTATTTATATAATATTGAAACATTTGAATCATATAAAAAAGAAAAAACTAAATTTAAGGACGTACCAGGCAAATGAGAGGTCTCCTCTCCCATGAAGCCACAATAAGCTGGGGGCGGGTACTCCACCAAGCTGAACGCGCCATTCGCCGTGACAACTTGTCGGAGCCGGTTCCACCGTTCTGTCATCACCTTCCTTCCAAAATGGAAAAGTTTGTAACCGCCGCCCTCTTCGTAGCCATCCGCCACCGCCCTCAAAATCGTGGCCGCGCGAAGCTGAGAGTCCTTCGACACGCCGATGGTTCCAAGTTCCACGAACTGGACCATTCTCCTCGCCACCTCCTTATCTTTCACCAGCGCCCAGCCCAGCCGGCTCCCGGCATGGCCTGTGCACTTGGAGACGCTGAAGAGCATTATATTGTGATCAGCCGCGTTTGTGATCGGCGTGTATTGCGGCCAGTAGTAGGCGAGGTCGTGGATATTATTCGTTATTTGTTTGAAGACGGAGGTGTTCAGGCGGCCGTCGGGGTTGTTTGGCGAGCAGATGACTTCGATAAAAGGGTCTGTTGTATGAGGATCAAAGGAGTTAGCGTCACCGGTCCATTTGTAGAGCGCGGATTGGAGGACGTCTGTAGCTGCCGGATAACCCTGTAGACGTTTTTCATTATGGAGATGCATAAGTTTACCATTCGATTGATATAATTTAATTATTGGAGTTTTTATTGATGTATTATTCTTAAAATGAAGTATTTTAATGTAATGGTATTTAATTTGTTTCTTATCAATATTGTTTATTATGTTGTGCTATTAAACACTTAAAAATGGTTGGCTATGATGAATTGGCAAAATACATATGCTCCAACTCAATTACAAGGTTTTTTTTTTTTTTTTTTTTTCCGGAATTTTTTTTTTTTTTTTTTTTTTTTGAAAGATGCAATAGCGCAATAGCATTAAAAAAGAAAGGCCTAATACAAGCTACCAATACAATCACATTCCTCATTTAACAGCGGAAGAATGAGTAGAAATATTATTCATACTAATATCATCCCAAATAAAATTATTACTAAGACCAAGGTTAGCACAAACATCAGATAACTTATTGCATTCCCGATACACACAATTAAAAATGTCGTGATTAAAATCATTAAGTGGAAGGCAAATTCTTCCATCCCGATGCCGGCCTTATTACCATTCGTCATCTTTAAACTATCTTGAAGAAACCTAATGACATTAACATTATCCCCTTCAATTATAATCCCTTTATAACGCAACATCCATTCTTTCATAACCGATTCCAAGGAATGAACAGCTAACATCTCCAACCGATATACATCCCAATGTACACCATTGAATCTAAATGCCAATAAAAACCTTCCATTGTGATCATGGAATACACCCCCAACTTCAGCCTTATATGGCTGTAGTAAGGAAGCTTCTACATTAACTTTAATCCAGTTGGGAGGAGGAGGGTATCAACATTTATTGAACAACCAATCCGGCTGATTAGTACCCCAGATATCCGACTTTAACATACCACATCTGACCGAAGATGAGAATGAAGTAAAACTAACAGAATTTGCCGCAATAATCAAATTACTATCCTCGTTGCCAGCATACACACCTTTACTCCTAGATTTTCAACATAGATAGACAGCAAAACAATAAAGGCTAACAAAAAACCTATTCTTTGATGCAAGGCTCTCTATCAATATGTAGTAATCATGAAATGAATCAAAAGACAAAATGTAGAAGTCCCAAGTGCTCAAATTTTGAATTACCTGAATCAGTTTCAAGCACTTAAATGCCACATGTTTATAGTCTTTTGCCGACATACACCCTCTAGGACATGAATTACCATCTCTTAACCGTCTATGCACCAGGAACTAGAAGGTAGGAATCACATTATGATACATCCACCACATTATTCAGTGATTGAATCTCTCGCCGACAACATGTGGACAAAGATTACCTTCTTAATCCCTCTCCAATGCTGATTATCAATCGGATGATGCACCGAGGACTTGAATGCTAGAGTAGAAATATATTTTCCCGTGCTTTGATTTATAAGTTCCACTCAATCTTTAGCCAATTTTGGAGAAGCTTGTGCTTGACAAATCAACATAATCAATTCCTCCCCAAAATACTTATGTAGTTCCTCCTTATTCCATGCTCCATCCACAATGAATTTATCCATAGTCATATCATTTCTTGCTATGATTGTAACGAATGTAGGCCATCTATTAAAACACATATCTAATAGCGAAACATCCTTGAATACATTAATAGAGTCACCTACAACAATTTTCCATCTAACAATGGGATGAAGAGCTTTAGCACCATTCGAACTAATTTTCCAAGAAACTGACGAGCTATTCTTCACTTTAGAATACCAACTACAAGACCCATACCTCTCTTCTAGAGTCTTATTCAACAAAGAGTCTGTCTCATTAATGAACTTTCATGCTAATTTCACCTTTAAAGACCCCACCTTGCTTACACTAGAATGAAGCCCACAGCCACCCAGCTTGATCGGCCTACACAACACATCCCAACTTACATAGTGCAGACCCTTCATCCCATCCTTCTTATGCCAAATAAAATCTCTACACATCTTATCAATTTCAGCCAGCACTCCTTTAGGAATAAAAGAGTGAGTACAATGAAAAATAAGAAGCGAGAGAATAATTTATTTTAAGAGAGTAAATCTTCAAGCTAATGAAAAAAATTTGTTCCCACAAGCATTATGTTTCCCAATAGATTTATCAAGAATATACTAAAAATATCACCCACTAACATCCTCAAAGAAATCTTCACACCCAAATAGTTCATCTCTTTAAAAGTTTTAAACCCATACCAAACAAGATATAATTTTCTCCTATTCCTTTTCACAGCTTTCCCAAAAACCATGACAGATTTTTAGTATTTTAACTTTTGGCCCAACCAACTACAAAAGTCCAACAAAGTATTCAATTCCTTATCTTCTTCACTACCTTGGTATTAACTTTAGCAAAAATCAATATATCATCTTCATAAAGAAAATGAGAGATCTTCAGAGCATTTGGACAAACTTTAATGCCAATCTCATCACCTTTTTGAATCAAAGCATTTGATAACAATTGAGATCATAAAATAAGTAAGAACATGGATAGGGGACATCCTTGCCGAAACCCACTACTAGCTTTAATCTAGTTAGACAAATTACCAATGATCTAAATTGAGAACCTGGGATCTTTAACACATTGCATTATAAGCCTTGAAAACTTCAAAGAAAATCCAAAGTAATTTAAAACATGCTTCAGAGTGGTCCAATTGATACTATCATAGACTTGCTCCATATCTATTTTGAAAGAAACAAAAAACTTTGGATTATTTAGAAAATATGAATTTGCGAAACACTTCTTGAGCTATCAATAAATGCTCAAATAAAGAACTCAATTATCAATATGTCAACATAGTATCAAATGTCGATTTAAAGCAAAATTTTGGTTAATCATAATAATTGGTCAATTACTTTTGGGATGGTTTTCTCCTTACATGGGAAGTTTTATCACACCTAATATACTTAAAAATCTAATTAGTGTATACCTCTTTTATAGAAGGGCTTTATTATATTTTTATACTATGGCTTTTACACCAACATTTAATGTAATATTTTCTATAGATTGGTAAGCAGAAGTGATATGTAGTTGCCTATGCACTGAAACAATAGCCTATTGCATTACTTTTAGTAAATATCTTTATTTTGCAGGAGCACTTTTACAGATTAAATCTACACCTTTGAAGTGTAAATGACTTACATCTTATCGTTGAATATATTACTTAGTCTTGCTAAATATGTTATAAATAGTAGAAATGTGGTAAGGTTAATGAAATTATTTCTTGCATCTATAATTTACCTTCCTATTCATTTCCATGTGTTATAATCTTCCTTTACCATAAGAAGCTATAGGTTGTCATGGTATTAAAGTGACCAAGTTCCAATTGCATAATTCAGTTTTCTTCATCCCTTATTTCTGAGTTTTTGTGTTGATTGCCTTTAGCCCTAACCAAAATTAGTGCTGATTCTTTTACTAGCCCGTCTCTCCTTTCTTCCCAATCCCTTATAAAAATGAGTAATATTATCCCCTTTGGAATTAAGTCACAAGTGTTGAAGTTCTTCACCATAAATAGCTTCGATAAATACCTAGACGAGTTTATGCCAAAATTAATGAAACAAATCATTAATCAGTTCGATGAAATTTCTCCCAATCCTCATTACCAAACTTGGATTCTTATGGATGAAGACTTTGTAGTAGTCCTTTATTCAGCAATTCCAAATCTCTTACCCTACATTCTAAATTGGACTCATGCACCAAAATATGGCAAACAATCGAAAGGAGACTTCAATCCACTAATAGGTCTCATTTGCTTCAGTTGAAGAATGAATTACACCATATATCCATGAAGGACAAAATTATGCTTTAATATATTTTTGATATCAATAGAAAAAGGAATACCATAGCTACTTCTAGTACTCCACTGGATCCTGAGGATGTAATCTTGTATATTTTGAATGGATTACCTTCATTGTATCAATCCTTCAAGACTGCAATTTGTACAAACCTTTAGCTAATCAATCTCGATAACTTTTATGCAGTTTTTGTAGCAAAGAACTCAACATTGCAACTGAATTTGCTCATGATGGCTTTTACCTCACATATCCTGACCCACATTTAGCTCTCACTATTGTTCGTGGAAGTGGCCACTCATAATTTTCACCCAACTAAGGATTCTCCCAATTTGCTGCTTCACCTACAATTCCTATATATACAAAATGTTGGACTATATATTGGAAGAAATAATTCAATCTACATTTAATGCCAAAATTATAAAAAAATAAAGTAATTATGTGTTTAAGTGTTGGAAAAAAACAAATTTGCAATATCATTTGACTTCTTCATCTACTTTGATTGCTAGTTCAACTATGGATACCTTAGATTGGATTCTCGACTCATGAGCATTTTCGCATTTCATGCTAGACATAAATCATCTGTAATAACCACAACCATATCCCTATTCTCAGTAGGTTCAATTTGGAAATGGAGACTTTGTACCAATAACACAATCTGGTCAAGAAATTCTTCCAACTCCACATCGTAAGCTTCATATAAAACCCACATGTTCCTACTCTCTCACACAACCTTATTTCAGTAAATAAATTAGTTCATGGTAATCCTTGCTTGATTATATTTGATAAATTTGGTTTATTCTATCAAGGATTCGATGAACAATCAAACTCTTCTCCAAGGTCCCTCTCATTGAGGACTTTATACACTTCAAGCTCCACAAATAGCCTCATCCACCTCTATTGACTTGCACGGTACTTTTTGGCTTCATTTGTTGTGTCATCCATCTTCTTATACACAAGCTAATCTTCTTCAAGATTTTAGAGTTTCTTCTGCTAAGTTCCATTATACCGCTTGTGCTCTATAAAATAATCACAAAGTATCTTTTTGTGTTCTTCAAATTGTAGCAAAAAAAAAAACATTTAGAATTGATACATACCGATGTATATGGTCCTTCCCCTATTTTTTCTATCTAAGGATTTAAGTATTATATTCATTTTTATGGATGATCTCATTATAGTTGGATATTTCCAATTAAACTTA